AACGCATTGTCCATCAGGTCGAAGAAATATGGGAGTAGTGTCCTTTCCCCAAACAAAATCATATCCCTGTTCTAAGCACCTCAAACCAATTGAAAGTGCAGAGGGAGTACTTTGGAGAATGTAGGGGTTGAAGGATTCACATAACCCTGGCAAGATCACCTCTACTACTTCGTCAGCAGTGATAGGTCCATTGGCAGTAGTAAGGGAGATTGGTTCGTTGGATTTGAATATCTTGGTGGCCCTGTTGACTGTCTTAGAGTCCTTACCTACGATGTCCTGGTCAGTGCCAGTGTCACCCAGCCACTTCTCCATACCAACCATGTTTGGCATCGCTGTTAAGCGAGCACATGACGGCACCTGTTCTCCGACGACTGTTCTGCACTTCGTGCAGCACAAATCATCGGGGCCTTCTGGGGAATGTTCACAAAGGAAATCACACGCAGGCTCCTCGGTATACATCGAAACGAGCATCTGCCTAAGTGACTCCGCTGCCAAAATGGCGTCCTTAGTGTCACACTCGCGGGACTTTGGGCATTCCTCAGTGGTCCGGAACAGGTTCCGCTTCTTGCTCTTATTCACTACATGCCGGTACATTTCCTTCCAAACAGGAAAGGTGTGTACCTCCGGTTCTAATTCAAAACGAATTCTCTTCTCTTGCACAACACGGAAAATTGACTTTCCAGTCCAATCAAATTTCTGTTTCGCGTTTGGGTGTTTCTTCCAATTACCCTTGATTGTCCTACTCTTTCCCTTTGAGTCAGTGACTACCATGGTAAACTGGTCTTCCAACCTAGATGACTCAACTGGACAGGATTTACGTGTTGGGAGAAACGACCTGTGCCTAGGCTTCAAATGGTGCCTAATCAACTCATTGCCATCTTTGGAGAATTCCCAGTAGTCTTTACTCTTTTGGGTCCGAGTTGCGGTTGCTGCTAAGCAAGACATTGCGAAACCTGTTTGAATACATGGACTGGCCTTTGGACTTTTGTCCTTCTTTTCCCGTTTGCTCTTTTTGTCCTTTTTGTCCTTCTTGGATTTCTTGTCCTTAGACCTTTTAGCTGCGGGCGAGGGACTCCTTCTGCGCGGGGCTGGTGTTGCAGTGTCTCCGTGTTTAAACGGGCATTTGTCACCCCTTTTGCAGTTACCCTTTGCAAAGAACCTGCATGGCTTGTCAGATTTCCTCCCTCTACTGGAGCTTCTTGATGAGTTCCTTGAACTGGAGCGGGAAGTGTGTCTTGACGAACTTCGAGATCGGCTTGACCTGAACGATGAACGGCTGCTCGGACTTGCGCTACGCGAACGAGACGACTCCCGACTAAGGGAGCGGGGACGGGCGCTAGAGTCGTGTGAGTACTTGCATTTGCTCCCGTACTTACACTTACCAGTTTTGGCATACTCATAGCATTGATTGCTTCCGTCACCCTTTGTGCTTCGTTTGCCATAACTTGGGCTTCGCGTGCGCTTGTCGTGCGGTGCCGGGTTTGCGAACTTTGCCGCGTGTGATTGTGATATCTTTTCGCGATTGGTCCTGAGCCTTTCCCTGTCAAGGTAACGTCGAACAGAATTGATAAGAAATTCATAGCTTCTGTCGTTACTTCCCTCCGGCGCTCGTTCATAAACATCAAGGTCAAATCTGAGCTTGCGGGACTTCCTAACCTCTCTATAAAACAAATCCTTGAGAGTTGCCGGGTCTGGGACATGACTCATTCCGGTCAGAACACTCTCCCATTTTCTTAGAAAGGATTTCAAGTCGTCGCTATCAAGCGAGATCTTGAGGAGGTCCTCAGTGCCATACAGTGCACCCGCTTCTTCACTGGTCTTGAAGTGGACTTCAAACATGAGCAACACCTGACGACCACGGACGATCCTACCTTGCTGTGCCTCAGATTCCTTATAATTAAGGATCTGCTGAGACAGTTCACCTTTGGCAACCTTAGTTAAAGCAGCAAGTAGTTTCGTGTCTAAGGTCCGAAACTTGCCTGGGTCAGCCAATTCGGAACAAAGCTTGGCTTTGTCTTCACGAACAGCGTACACCTCAAGCACCCATGCGAACGCAGCGTCTGGGTCATCGGACGCGGGCCGTATCGCTTCGCGAACAGCGGCCCTCCAAGTGCGGTACCTATCAGGACTTGGGAATTCGGGAAGATCTATCTTATCAGCCTCCTTTGCCTTGGGTTTGTCAGAGTCTTTGCTCTTAGCGCCCTTAAACCCTTCTAGCAAGGCCTTCTTGATGATTTCCCCCAAATCTTGGTCTTGTGGAGTTCTTACCTGAGAAGCCGGCCCTTCGTCCTTGCGATCATCCTTAGTCTTTGTTGCTTCCTGATTAAAGGAGCTTTTGTACAAAGGATCATCACTGAAGTTATATTGTGCTGACTTCTTCATGTACTCCGTCCACGGATCCGGTTGTTTGAATTGTTGCCTGTCCGTAGAGGCCGTTGCCTGTTCCGTTGCGGGCGCCCCTGTCCCTGAGAACATTGATGGGAATCCAGTGTTGCGCGTGGACGCTGTTGCATCCATAGCCGTCTTTATAGGGGATCCGCCTTCCTCACGAGGCTTACCGTCTAAGGTTGCTGGAACAGTGCCTTCCGTGCGTAGAGGTTCAAAAGATCGCGGTTGACCAATTGGGTGAGCGTCTTGTCGAGCAGAAGGTGTAAGTGGCTCAGGATATTGCGGCCCTGGCTTAACGGGGCTAGAGGATTGCGCCTTGCGCTCCGCTTCCTTGCGTTCCTCTTCCCTGTCTGTCAAGGACTGTACAACACGTCTGAGCTCGTCCATTTCACCCTTCAACATTGCATTGTCCTTGCGAAGCTCAACTATAGTTTGCTCTTGCGTTTCCCGATCAACCTTATATTGCTTATTTGTTGTCTCCATCTCATTGACAAGAGTTTTGATCTTTGCCTGTGCAATTGCTAACGAACTGTCCAGTTGTTCTCGCTTGAAGTCAAGCTCTATGGCGATCCGGGATTCTTCAGCAGACGAATGTCTTGCCTGATCCTTTGCCTCTAGAGCTGCCTTCAGCTTGGCCTCCTGTTGCTCAACATACTGGTGATGTTCAGTTCTCATTTTGTCAACAAAAGCATTGCCTTCTTCCGCCATGGCATTCTTTTCCTGTACAACTTTCTCATGAGCTGCTGTCGCCTGAGCTAGCCGCTGCTGAAAATGTTCCCTTTGCTCCTCCAATGTACCTTGCAACCGTTTGATTGCAACATTGTCTTGCTGTTGGACCATTTGCTGAACACTTTGTTCCTGCTGTTGGGCCCTTTGTTGAACATTCAACATTGCCTGCTCTGCGGCAGCCTTTGTTGCCGCTATAGATTCGGAAGCTTCTCTTTCGTAAATACTCCTGAAGCGCAATGCCTCGATTTCAGCTTCCCTCCTGGCTTGTTCGCTGAGCAAAAACTCATGTTGTTGTAACTCCCGTCGTAGTTCTTCGTCGTTTGGCGTTGCATTCAGGTTGACGACGTTGAGCCGAGTCATTGCCAACAAGTTGTTTACTGTTGGCGCACCAGCTACGGTGGCTGACGGCATACCTGCTAGGGTAGCTTGTGTCGCCTCTTGAAGAGTAACACTACCACCACTATTTAGCATCTCTTGGTACACCTCCGAAGCAACCCTTGGATCCATTGCAGCCACTTGTGCAACCGCTTGTTCATGCCGTTGAACTGCATCCAAACTATTGGGCACACTCGGAACTATGTCAAAGCCACTTCCGTAGGAGTTTGGTGGGACGTCGTCATCCATCGGGTCCATAGCTCTAATCTAGCTAGCCTACGGCTGATAACCTGTATTTTACAGGATCAGCTCTAATAGTACTAACTACCTAGCTAACCCTGCTAGTCCGGTAAGCGCTACCTTTTGCTCTACCTTGAGAGTCAACGCTACGGGGTCCATGGGGATGAGGTGAATTTCAACAAATACATTGGTTGATCCTTTCACGAAATATGGTCGTAGTACTCGTTTGAAATATTCTACGCCGGCTCCTGGTGGATCATTTGCCTTCAATGCATCTCTGTCTAAAACACGCTTGTATACAGCTGCTTCTCCTTCTAATCTATTTCTCAATGCTGGTCCTCTCTTCTCATCTTCCAGCTCGGTGATATCACACCAATCGTCTATGGCATCCTCATAGGAAAACCATGAAGTCTTTCCATCATAAGATGGGGGCACCTTTGTAGTGACCTGTGTTGTCATTGCTATTGCTGCTGGTTCTCTTCTCGCATGCCTATTCACATAGGCTGCTGGCTCATAAGCCACATCCGCATCAGGCTCTTCCCAGTCGTCTATCCAATCCATGGCTGTTTGCCCACTAGCAAGTCTATGCCTAGGAAAGGAGCTCACCTGGGTCTTCCAGGATCACTGCTCCGCTACCACTGAAAGAGTGACTAGGGCGTACACGGTAGAGGTGCAGACCGCTAGTGTCTTTTATGCGCAGAGTCTTGTCCTCTTGCTCTTTGAGCCTTGAAGCAGTCAAGTATGGACACACTATATCGGCTGTTGGAGTGGAACCCTGTACAGGTAGGCTCTACTTTTCAGGGGGGGGTGGGGGTGTTAGACATTGATCTACCAATCTTTAGTCCCGAGCAAGCTCTCAAGCCAGTCCCTTTGCTTCGCAAAGCAAACTCAAGGTAGTCCTTACCAGGCTACCTTTCGTGATAATAAAGAATCTATATTCTTTACCCTTGTTTATCATTTCCTCCCCCCTCCTTCTCCTTCAAGAAGATTTCGTAATATCCCCCCCCTCCAATAATTAATCATGTAGTTTGTATTTTTCAGCAATTCAATCATTGTTGTTGATGTTTTAATTATTGGTTGGAGGTTCGATGATTTGTGGAAGATGTCGTCGTGGCTCAACGCACGTGATCTTTCACGCACTTCCATGACTGTCTTCCTCCTGGCAAGTTTCATTTGAGGTTTTGTGGTCTGCAATGCAGCAATATGCCACCCAACCAAAGCAAATTCTTCAAGAAAAGGATGGCAACTCTTAAACACCGGACCGATTTTTAGACTACACTGGTGGAAGAGCGAGACTTGAAGTCTAATCTAGGTCTTGACATCCTGGCCTCCATACTGGCTTCAGAATCACTGCTGGTACCATATTGCTTTGGTGAGCGCGCAGCGCAACTCCTTTCGCCAAGCGGGCTGATTGGACATGTTCTGTCAAACGAGCGCATGTTTCGACTTCCTAGTTTAGGTTCACACGTCGCTAGCACAACACATGTCACAAGCGAACAGTACAGGAGAGTGCTTCCCTTATTCCCGCCCTTTGCGAGGGCCACTGTCCTCCAAGGGCACGTGGCAACAAAGCCAGCAAGCCCAGAAACCAAAATGCACATGATCCAAATGGATCCTGTATCTTCCAACCGGGTTCCACCTCACGAAAACGGGCATTGAAGAACCGGACAACCGACAACCCCACAAGTGAAGCGAGTGTGTGCGTAGCCAAAAAGTGGGCGGAGAGCAAAGATAGCGGATGAATGAATATTGAATGATAAACAGGGTGGCCCGAAAGTACTGCTGGAGGAAGAAAATGAAACCATGTGCAAAGAAACATGGTCTCTGAAGCATAACTGTGACAAATCTGAAAATGAACGCTGTCATAATATGATGTGTGGATAAATTCCATGTGATGATGTGAGTCGTGCGGATATTGCTTGATGATGACGATGCCGCCGCCACGACCACCAACCACCTCCAATCACCCTCATTGACACCACCAATGACACAAGGGCGACCAGCAGAACGCAGGAACAGCAAATTCATGCAAATCGCTAGGAACAATGTTCGCTACTAGGGGCTGCTGGCCTTACTACTAGGAGCAAGAAGCTACTACTAGGAGCAGCAGAAAGCAGTTGAGTGAGCTGTGTGACTGTGTGAGTTGAGTTGTGATATGAGTTGTGATCGAGTAGCACCACCACCACCACCACCCCACCACTGACTGCCATCGGCTTTCTTTTCTTTTTGTCCGGGGCCTTAGTAGCCAAAGGAACCTTAATAGCGATGGACTCCAACCTGTTAGCGATGGCCTCCAATATAAAAGCGATGACCTCCAACCTACTAGCGATGGCCTCCACTTACTACAAAATTCCTTCAACAGAGAGAAGTCCTTACCATTCAGGCAAGTCTCGAACAGCGACAATCAGCAACGCCATCATCCAGGGGTGGAGCAGGTAAAGCCTGATTGAGCACATCATGGGGCCATGACTGGATCTCTTGTTGTTGGATGTTGTTGGTACGTTTGGCAAACACTTTGAGCAGGTCTAACCCCTTCCGCCACCCTTGGCAAAACCTTGGCGACTTCTGATTCCTGCCCCCAATCAGAACACCAAGAGCACTTTTACATAGGAAAACTAGCAAACCCAGCTGGGGTTTGGAGCATCGGGGGAGCCATCTGCATGTGAAGAGGCAACAAGGCACCGTAGCCCATGAAGGCTGGCAATGGTTTGCAATTCATCATGCGCCCAAGCCGGTCCACGACAAACATCACCACCACAGCACCAGCAACCTGAGGTGGGCAAAGAATAGCCTTCAACCAATAGCAAAAGGAACTCAATAGCGTTGGCCTCCAACCCAGTAGCGATGGCCTCCAACCAAATAGCGATGGTCTCCAATCTAGTAGTGCCACCCTAGTAGCGATGGCCTCCACCCCAATAGCGGGCAAAGCGGGAACAACCGATGTTGAAATGCCTCTTCGAAACCTTGAACCAGATCGTCGAGCACTTGACCATGCTCGCGACACTACACAATCCAATCTGATCTTCCGAAGTTCTGTTCTAAAGCACACGAGCAAAAAGCGGCTGAGCATGGCCTACCGATAAGTTCTGAGCAAGTTGGCCACATCCGATTGTCCATAGAATTCGGCTTCTTAGGTGTGTAAATCGTATTTTGGGAGTCTTGTTCTACTTTCCCTTCCAATCCAAAAAGGCAGGGGCCGATGGGGTTCCAGAATTATGGAGTTGTTGCATGGACCTTCGAACACACGTCTGTTCAAAGAGGGAAGTTGGGGTTATGTCTGCGATCATCCTGAATCATGTTCTATCCAAGTTTGGATAAGTTTGGAATCAAGTGACATAGTCGGCGCGGTCCAACAAACGAGGGTAATAGGGGTAGGTCAAGTTCCCTGCAGCATACCAATTCGTGGAGGGTGCAGTGAGCGTCCGCAGAATTGCCATCATTGGCCAGTAGAGGCTGACCTGCCGCTCACCAAGAAACATTGGATTTAAGTTTCCCTAAAAATCTAGGAACCAAATCATTAGTGCAAGCCCTTCTAGAAGGAAGTTCCCCCCGCCCTCAGGCGGGGGGGGCTTCCTCAAAGAAGCGTGAGCTATCCTGCGTCTGAGTAGCTAGGAACGTTTTCCTTAATTAAGTAGGTGCCTACTCAATTAAGAAAGGAGGCAGGGCGGCAGGGCTTTAAAAAAATGCATGTTTGTCAGGTTTTGTCATGCTGAATTAGGACGGTGCTTGGCTCGCTGAAAAGAACTGGGCCGAGGAGCAATGGGAAGAACATCGTGCTGGCCCGGAAGCCTTGCCAAGGTCAGAACGAAGCCAAGCTGAAATGATTTATTGAAGCCACAGAAGATGAAGAGCATAAAGGCAGTGGAGATATGCTCGATCTCTGGTGCGATGGGTATACAACCAAACTGCAGGGTTGCTAGAGCACCCAAGCCGTAATGAAGAAATCGCAAGAGTTCAGGGCGGCCTCCCAATTTCTTTCCTGTGATTGAGAGGGCCACAAAAAGCACTTCAGTCAAAGCCATCAAGCCAATCACCAGCCATGGCTTGGTGATGCTCTCATCAACAATCGCCAAAGCAGCCTGGACACCAATGGTCATGATGAGTTGCAAAATCAAAGCACTACTGCAGGTGTTGTTCCGCAAGAATGCGAAGAGTGGCCAGTTCAACAGCATCAAGACCAGCAGCATAGCAGTATACCACATTTGAAAAACGATCGGGAAAATCTTTCCAGAGAAAGGACAAATAGTGAAATCAAAGACTGCACCTTGACATTCAGCCCGACCATATGCAGTACACGGGTCACAGTCGGGGTTTTGTGGCCCCAGCAGCCACAGTGCAGCATTCAGTGAAACGCCCAAGAATGTGTAGACAATGATCTTGCCAAAGCTTCCAGGGGTCTTCTTGAAGGAGCAGGCACACGCTGCTCCAGAGACAAAAAACAACAATGGCAAACAGTACTGCCTCACCGATGAAATCCATCGCACACCCAAGGGGCTTGGATCCCTCAGCTGGTCATAGCTTGGTTCTCGGGCGTGGCCGTTTGTCGCCCCAACTAGAGCTCTCAAACTTTAATCCAAGCTTTTGCCTCTGAGGCTTGCAAAAACCTACATCCAACAAGGATGCCACTACTTACGAGTTTGGGTTGTGGCTTTAATGACGTACCCCTTTTCTACCAGCATCGATAAAAATTGTTGGCCCCCAGTTGAAAAATTGCAAGGCTGAGGTATACATGCCAAAAGCCTTGCCATAGGCAGGACAAGCAACACCATATTGTAGATGCGGTCATCATTGGCAATCTTCCCGTAAACACCACCTCTCATTCCACTACGTGAGATGTGGGCATAAACGACCAAAATCACCTAGGCCAGAATGACAGTTTCGCATCCAAAACGTTCGGATTCTCCAAAGTGCAAAACCCAAAGTTACAGCATGGCGAGTGCAGTGGCACATCCTCCCAATTCAGAAACATCCTCCCAGCTCCACAGTTACAAAGTGCTCTTCGATTCTTCCGACCCATTTGGGGCATCGCTACCAGTAGCAAGGACACTACTAGGGGCTCCTGGCCTTACTACTAGTAACAAGTGCCTCGCTACTAGGAACAAGTGCCTTACTAGTAGTAACAAGTTACGAATTTAATTAGAATT